AAGCAGCTTTCTGGCGACTCGCACAGTCTTTGGTGTTGATGTTGAAGCTTCACCAAAATAAACAAACAATGTGATCACCACAGATACAGCCGTTTCTAGTTCCGTTGAACAGTCACCAAGTCGTTTGTTTCTTAATTTCACTATGGTTGTTTCGAAGCCTCTTTGTGACTCTTATCCATAAGAAAGGTTCCCAACAGGAAATTGTTTGCTGTATGTGTTTGTTATCGCTCTAAACGAACGCAGGCGAAATAGACCTTTTCGGAGCAGTGCCTCGGAACGGCCCCTCCAAAAGATGCGCTGTTATGGAACACGTCTTTAAGCTTAAACGTGTGTGCCTGTAATCGGTATCATTTTTTTTTTCACTTGGTATTGAGCATTTTTGGTGTAGAAACTTTTTGTGGTTTCCGCGTGTGGAAAAAGGCGCTTTCGCATCTTTGCGCATTCAGCGTACTGAAACAAATGAACACTCAAACCTAAAACCGCCAGCAAGTTTGGATAGGTGAAAGTTGGCTGTGTCGTCTTGAGGCAAATCGTTATGAATTTTCAGAGGCTCGAATGAGGGTGATACTTACGATAAGTGGATCTGCCCTCACATCCTCATTGTATTGATGTCATACAAATATTTCTTATAAGGGGTTTTCGCATGGCGTCAAAGAACCATTTTGATATGGGACATACACCTTAGGGGCGGTCTGTCCACTACGTATTTGATGGGGACGAGACACCAGTCGGATGGATGCTCGTAATGAGAGCGCGTCAGTCAGCCCATAACAACAAACCAATACAAGGGAATTATATCAGTGAAAGCAGCCTGAAGGAAGTGTCTACAAAATGTCAGTCGGGGGTATATGTGCCGCTGCTGCGTACTGCCTCTGCTGAAGCACACGTTCATCAATTGTGCAAACTGAGTCCAAGCAAAAACAGGATCGCAAAACTGCTGGTTATGCAGACGAAAATGTAACTGTGTACAGAGTGCTCACCGTCCATCGGGATAAGAATAAGAATATACACTGTTCGAATGTCCGACGTAGACTCTGTCAAACTGCGACTGCTGCGATCACTGCAGGGACCAGGGCACGTGCGGCACGTGGCACAAGGGCTTCGCGGCTTGCGCAACTGCACTTAGAGCGCGAGTGTGGAAAGCTTTGCACAAAGCACTTAAAATACATCGTAAAACGGCACGCCTGTACCGACCGCACGCCGGTACGGTGCTCATCCAGATCAAAACGGGCATGGGTGGGGCTTGAACCCAGGATCCCTGGGTTCTGCAGCGGGAGCTTTTGCTCCGCGTGCTCCGAGCTGGATGTGCGCTTTAGCCCATGTCACATAAAACGGCGAGGGTAATATCCAAAGGTCGGGGAGGTGTGTCTGTCGACGTGAGCGAGCGCCTGGTCTCCCTGAGTATTCCCCCATCTTCGAATTCTCCGACGCGTTGGGGGTTGCTTTTCGGCACGTCGCTCGGTGGTTCCGTTCCCCTCACCTCGCCCGCCCAGGATCAGTGGGCTAAACGCGTGTAGCCCCCCGGTTCTTGACTGCCTTGCCGGAGGCTCGGGTTACTCTTGAAGTCATGGGACGCAAACGGCGGCGTCTGTGGCGACCACAGGCATAAATATTGCGAGGCACGCTGTCTCGTAACTCTGCCCAAAAACAAACCAAACACAAGAACATAACCTGAAGTCTTTGAATCTAACGGAGTTGTGTCACTTTAAACGGCAGGAAATGTTTGGGCTTAGAGGGCAGACTACTTTCAGGGCCAAAGGGCAGATCCGCAGGGCAATGACCGTCGGAGGGAGGGGAATTTCCACGCTTGGGTGCGCGAACCTCGGTTTGAGTGCGAGGAACAAAGGGCAGTGCGAGAAGAGACTCAGAGGCGAACGGACGCATCGCGTCGTCGAGCGGGGCGACGAGACCACTGTCGACGGCCTCTCGCCAAGTACAGGACGGAATTCCGCTGTGTGTGAGCGTGTCAGCTGAAGAAGTGGGCGCGAGGCCAGGGGGCCCTGCCCATAGTGAGCCAGCCGACCGCCGGAACTCCTCCACTTTGGACGGACCGCGCAGTAAGACGTCAAACATCGACTCGCCAGATGAGACTTTCCGCACTCGATGTTACTTTTTTAATTAGCATTTCCTGATTCGGTTAATCGTAACATCTTCATTAGTAACTGTATAAGCCTTCGCAAACCTTGATTTGTAAACCCCATTTTCGTAAGCATTCTATCCAATATTACAGAAGCCATTTGTGCAGAGTGAATAGATCGGAATTAGCTTTCTGTACCAAATTAAAGTTTTTTGTGTTCTCGAGCTGCCTCTCCGTGTCTCTTCATTGGTCAGGCTTTACCAAAGCGTGGACCTATCGCTCGGTCAGTGGTCCACCCTTTACCAACGTCACACCCGGATAACTCTCGATATTTTTTTTGGTTGTGACAGCCCACCCGACCACCAAGATGACCGATCCCCCCAACCGATCGTAAAACGGCAAGCGTTTTGTGTGTGTGTGTGAGAGAGATGATTTTCTGAGGTTTTACTTTTGTTCTAAGTGTCTTTATTCCCCTGTATATCGTGATTTCACTTACTTAATTTCTTCCACCATCTTGTTGCCATGAGCTGTTGGGGACATGCTGAAGGCAAGTATTCTAAAGATTCACACGACACCCTCAAAACGGTGGTACACAAAAGTTTACAAGTTTCATCACACCTTTTTTTTCCCCCCTTCTGATTGAATTAATTATTTTCTCACTCACTCACTCTAACATAATGGCAGATTAACGTCGTGCAAAAACGCCCTCTCCGGTTAGAGAACGAACATCAAAGAATTTCCAGGTTTCAATAAAAATATTTATCTATCTACCAAATAGTATCGAACCTATGCTTTACAGTGCCCATCTGCTCCAGGTATCCTGAAACTAAAGTCAGCGGATATAGTGACTTAATCCTCCTTGCCATTCTCACCCCGACACTGACTGTACCGGACATCAAATTCAGTCACTCACAGTTCCAACCTTCGGCACTAAACCAAGTGAATAATTCTGCGACATCCCCCTCGCTTCTTCTGAATAGCATTTTATTTTCAAAATGAGACAGTTTATATACATGCAACCTCCATTCAAAACTATTGCACCGATCCAGACATGTCGAAACCTCACAAAAAAGATTAAATTACGTAATCTAATCCCCTTTCTTAGAAGTCCTACAGCAATTGATGAGATTACAAAACTGCCAGTTGTGCAAAGCCATTTAGAGCGTATGAAAACAAATGTAATCCCGACGAGACAATGACTGCCAACGAGCAATAAATCTTACTCTTAGCTGTTGGAAAGACCACGTAGATAACCCTATCTATGAGAGCCCCTCGTAATGTACACAATCTTGGAAGTACTTCAACCGTTCGTCTTTCCTGGGAATCGTGCCAAGCACAAAGGCATAAGCCCGGGGGCATCACATAACGCACGGCTGCAATACCTTGAACAGCGAAGACAGTAAAGTACCATCAATGTGCAGTGGGTAAGAACAGCATTTGGACAGTCAGTAACACGTAGAGAAGCTGCGTTTCAAACCTCTTCCATTAAGGAGACTAGAGGAACAGGGAGATGCACGACGCTTCAAGCTTGAGTTTCTTTGACTGTACAACAATGGTATACAAGTTGCGCTAGAGTCTTAAGATGCCAGTACCCAAAGCTGCTCAGGGCATCGTCTGAGCATCAAGGCAGCTGTGGCGTCCGACAAAGACCTCAAAGTGCCTACGTCCTTAGACGTCGCGTAGAGAGTTCCCGCGGGCGACTTGATGCATCGCTAGCATCGTTATGCCAGTGTATCCTGGAAGCTCCTGCTAAGGCTCGTTACTCAAGCACTCAGACTTTCACAAAACCAGATTGACGAAAAAATGGCTCCACACATGCACAAGAGCCAATTAGGAACGTGAGGTTTTGGAGAATAAATACTGCTTCGGCCTGGTAATGATGATGAGTATCGAGGCTCCCTCCAGGAAACAAAACCTACAACGATTGCGGCACTCATAACAGGACGAACCTAAAAATCAAGAAATAAATTAAACTGCATCGATATTTAAAGAAAAAGTCCGCGAAGCTAGGTCGCAATAGTTGCGCAGCACACAACTGGAGTTCGGAGATTCAGACCGAGCGAAACAGAAACACACCGTGCGAGGTCCCCCGAGCTGTTCGGGCCAGGTCACGTGATCCGCCCTGCAACCAGTATCAGTGCCACATGGACGCAACCGGCGGAACTTTCGGTAGGAGCGACAGGGCAACGACCATCAGAGCATGGCGCCCACAACGTCCGCTTCGTCCTCGGACGCCGAGAAGTTGCTGTTGATGTTGAAGCTTCGCCCGATGCGGAGCTCGGAAAGCGCATGTCCGTCCACAAGCACGCTGTTGGCGCCGTCGTGGTTGGGGGTCCCCGGCGTCGAAGACTTTGGCCTCACCGAAGCCGTCGACAGACTCCCTCTCGAGTTGGCCCTGGAACGCTGCTGCTGCGGCCTGCCGCTCCGCGCCGGAAGCCGCTTCATCGCCGCCAGCAACTTCTCGACTACGGGCGTGTACGCGGCGACTTCGTCGACGAGCGCGTAGCGATGGGACAGAAGCTCGAGCTGCATGTCGCGCTCGCGCAGCAAGTCCTCGTGCTTGTGCAACCTCTCTTCCGCAGCGGCTAGCTGCGCTTCCAGCTCCGCGATTCGGCAGTCCTTGGCGTCGCCAACGTCTCGAATCCTGGCCTGCATCGCTTCGTCCTTCTTGATGAGCGCTTCGGCCTGTTCCTGGACCGTGCGTTCGAGTTCAGCCACCTTGACATGAAGCAGTTGCAGGTGGTCGTTGGCTTCTTTAATGCTGCTCCGGGTTGGGCTAGGACTAACCTTGGACTGGAACATGGCCGCCCGCCCGGGCCCGGGCTCTGACCGGGACTCCGTCGCGCGAGGTTTTGTTGGACCACGGGCTGAGATACGCGCCGGTCGGGGTTCAACACCCAGGGAAGCGCCCGAGCAGTGCCGGCTACGCGGCACCGCAGGCGTCTTCCGGCACCGCGCCCGGCGCCATCTTGACAGCGTTATTTTGGATTGGATTGGATAGGACATAAAAGAAAGAATCGCATCGCGTCAACTACGCTTAACAACCGTACGGAAATATTTTTTTAATTATAAAAATAACTATACAAAAGCCAAAACAAACTAAAATCTGAAATTTTAAAATAAACTGTACTACTGTACGTAGCGTACACACATTACTGGTCACGGTGTGTTACTGGTATTACTAAATTGCAGCTCGCTGGTAGCGCCCATAGAGTTATGGTAGCGCCATTTTAGTAAAATGAAGAAATCCAAACGCGTATCAAAAGCAACGTTGGTTTCGGGGTTTCGTCAGTTTCGTTTTGAACTTGTGGATTCACAAGTTTTGAGTGTTTTGTATCTGCGAGGTGCCGCCAGTGCCGCGTGCAACCTGGATCAGAAAGCACACACGTGAACACTGAACCAACTGAACGACAGAACTTTTAATCTTATGTTGGCGCCTTTCGTCTCGCCAGCGGCGGAAACACTTCGCGCTGACAACCGGCTTGTGTTTGATGAAAACAGTTCCGATACCGACAACAACTCCGCCTGCACTCGACTGGCACTCGACAGTAGTCCTTGAGGCGTAACGTTGCTCGAGGCTGCCTCTGCACCCGGCGCCGTCCCTCTCACTATCGAGTTACGTCAGGCGGTGTTTTTGTTCAGCAATCTCGGTAACGTAACCTTCGGCGAAGCAAACGGCTGCCATGGAACCCAACAAGACCACAGCACCCGGCATTCTGAGGGCTTGGGATTACGACCTCCAGCCCAAAGAGCTGCTGGCTCGGGCAACACGCCTAATCGAAGACTGCAGAGCCTTGTGCGACAATATCGGCGCTCTCGAGGGTGACCAAATCACTTTTAACAACGTGCTGGGTGTAAGTGTTTTCTTTTCTTCCCCCCAGCCCTTATGAAATAGTTATGTTGCTGAGTCACGCTGGGTGTTTGCGGTAAGCGCGCTGAAAATGCGATCGGTGTTGAAACAGTTACACCGCATTCTTGTTGTCACGTTGCTGAGTTAGCCTGCAGTTGAGCCAGGATCTTTGGATAAGCCTTTGTTCACTAAAGAATGTGATTGGTTTTGGAACTCTTGCACTTTGTTGAGTCACATGACTGAGTTGGCAGCTAAATATTTATATAATACTGTTGCTTTTATCAAATTCAACATTTGGTACTGCCTGCCATTGTCCAGCAGAAGCCGATTGACAGTCTTAGATTCTATTTGAGTCCCACACCATTAAACTGTGCAAAGTGGGCTAAGGTAGGTTCAGCAAAGCACACCAACTTAACAATTTGTTTATCACAGGTTTACTACGGTTGATTGAATGCTATTTCATCGAAACAGGTACGTTTTAAAGAAAGGGCTCATTTTATCGAAGCTCAGTTTAGAGAAACGCTGTTTATCAAAAAGGGGATGCTGTTTAAAAAAAGGCTCCCCTACATATCGCACATCTGTCACTGGAACAAGTGTTAACACCCCCCCCCCTTTATGCGGCGACAGGCTGCGGCAGCTCAACACAAAGGGGTTAACCCATTTAGCCCAACTGTATACACCGCTTCTCGCCGGTCGAATTAGCTAAAAAGAGACTGATTGCCATTTTCTCTAAACTGGGTTTCTCTATTCGCAACTCCAGCCCATTGCTCACCCTTTTGCGAACGAACGGAGGACCAGAGGAGCAGGGACGACAGCGGTGGCAGGGATTGTCGGCCTTGGTGCCTCGGTGCATGCTGCTATTATCGCATGGTTCTGGTCGGCGCATTTATGCGTGAATCAGTTTTAATAAAAAAATGAGCACGTTAAAATAAGAATTTTTGTGTTCCGCCTCGCAGCAGTGTTGAACGAAGGGACAGCAGGATGTCTAATTTCCTTAGGAACTTTTCGTATGTCGGATACACCTCAGATTTCTAATCCTGCGGTCGCCAGCTGATCTCTACTGGACGTGTGACGGCAAATGCTCCTGCTAGTAGTGTAGTACTCTAGCGTACGGTCTATGAAAGTTTATTCTTTGCTCTAAGTAAGAGAAAACTGAACGCGCAACAGTGTACGTTGACCAGTAGACATCGGAAACGGGTTTGCGCTTTAAGGCCGTTATGAGGAACACGACCGTTTGCTCCAAGCACTTTCAAAATTTCGGTTAATTACAGAGTCGATTAAAGAAATGCTCAAAGCATTTTAAGCAAGTCTGTTAGCCAGCAGTTGGTGACGGGATTAGAACGGGCAGTCTTGACAAAACGGGCTGCAACGTTGCAAGTAACACGGTAGACAAATGTACGGTATATTAAAATATTTTCTTTTGATGAGCAATAAATGCAACCCCTAAACACGCTGATGACTTTAATGGGCGGTTATAGCATAGCGTTGCTGTAGACTACTGTGAGCACGGCAACGTTTGTGGTGCGCGGTGAAAATTAAACTTTGAAGGCAAGCTTCCAAGCTACAGTGGGTACCCTGCAGTCACGCCATATTAAAACTGACTATCACCTGTTGCAATATACTAAAGCCGCAACGGTGACCAGCGAGTTGTGAACCTGTGGCATGAAGACATCAATACTGTGAACGCTGCTCTTCCGGGGCTTGACGGTCGCTGGGAGCGGCTCACTTTTGAAAAAAGTGCAAGCATCACAACATTTACATCACCCTCAAAAATATTTTGACACAAACGGTGACGTGGCTGGTGCCAAAAACGCGCTCGCTGAGGTTTCCGCAACTTTCAGATGTCCACGTGCTCGATTTCCTAAAGTGCATCAGCATCTGTCACCTGTAATATGCCCCTGCCCTGGTTGCTTTGCATTTGTAGACCAATAAATTATTTTTAGCGCACTGACTGGCGTTGGCAAGCTGGCGCGTTGGAAATCCTGGAGTATCCTCCCCGTCTTTTCCATCATCTTGGAACTACCACTCGCCATCTATCGGGCATTTGTGCTGCAAATGAAGAGATTCGATAAACTGGGGTTGGTAAAACGGCGTTCGCTAAAACAAGTTTCTCTGAACTGTCTGTCTCTGGTTTATCACTGCGATGAAGACAGAAAAAAAGCCTCGCTAGTGGTGCGACTTCACAGAGTTCCTGCCCCCGACAAAGCTAGCAGCAGTTGCAAAATCGATGTGCCATAGGAAGAATATGATTTCTACAAGAAAAAGCATGTACAATACAAACAAAACGATGGCAACAGCTGCACGGTCAGTTTTGAGGAACAGTTCCAAGTCCTAGAGCAAAAACAAGCACACTTGGTTGACTATATTCTCTAGGGTGGGACATCAGTTGATTCTGTTTCTGGACCCAGCTCATAATCTCTTCGTTTCAGGAGCTTGCAGAGGTCGAGCGACTTTTCATGAATGAGAGACTCTACTTGAAGCGTGCGATGTACGTTTCAACAAACAAGGAACTGCGGGATGCTAGCTCGGAAGCCTCCCGTATGCTGGACGAGTTTGAAGTCGAATGCGGGTGAGGAAATGTTCTTGCTTATTCTCGGAACTTTTTGTTTTAATGTCTGTCCATGGACAACGCTGATTGTGGTAGCTAACAAAGATTCCACACCTCTGATCAGAATCCAAACACTTGATTACTCAAGCCATCCAATATCTCGTGGACAATCCCGGTTACAGTAACCGTTGGAACTTAGAATTCAGAAACTTGATAACTCGTGTCGTTTGATTGCCCTTGGACAATCCTGATTATGTATACCTACCGGGACTTCTGCGCCTGGGCAGAATCTAGAGATTTGACTACTCGTGCTGTCCGATTGCCCATTCACAATCCTGGTTGCAGTAGCTACTGGAACTTCCGTGCCTCCGAGCAGAATCCAGAGACTGGATTACTCATGTCGTTTGGTTGTCCTTGGACAATCCGGATTACGGTAGCTACCCGAAATTCTGTGCCTCTGAGGAGAATCCAAAGATCTGATTACTCGTGCCATCTGCTTTCGTAGAATGCGGCTTGACATCTTTGAAAAGCTGCAAGCCCTGGAGAAAATGGACACCAGCTCTCTCTCAGCCGAGATGAAGCGCTTCCTTGAGAAATTGATCAGGCTTCGTAAACGGGACGGTAAGGTTCTGACAGAATTCCTCTATAAAGGTGCACAGAAATCAATTCCAAGTTTGCGCTTAAAACCGAGAGTGTACAGTGGACACATTCGGAGAGCCGCTGGCTGAGTTTCGTTCTAGCAGAGTGGCGCAGGCCTTTGCTGGAAATGCAGAATTGTGCCCAGGAGAGGCAGATTACACTTTGGGCTTTGCACTTTCAACTTGCCTCTTCATTCATATCACCTCCCATCCTTCTCCCTACCTTACCTTCTTTCCAGGCACGTAGCCAGAGGGGTGGCCCATGGGGCCTGGCCCCTCCCCCCCTCCCCCCCTTTAAAATCGTCCATTTTGCTGGGGCCTCCTCTCCCCCCTCCCCCTCATACAGCATTTCGTCATGGGCGGGCCCCCCCTGAAACAAAATCCTGGCTACGTGCCTGCTTCTTTCCCTACGACCAACACCTCCTGCGCTTCGTTTCACTTTTAAGTGTGAGCATACTGGAAGCTACTATACTCCGTTTTATGATGACTTGGCTAATTGTGGAGGCTGGGGCCTCAACCCAGTAAGAGCGTTGGAGCGAAGTATGTTACCCCACTTCATGGGAGCCTCTGTGTCACCATGCCAAATGCGAGGACAAGGCCCGGAGGAACCGGCTGTCGTCTGCTAGTCAAGAGTCGACTGCTCCGAAACAAACCAACTTCGGATGAACATCCACCGCACCAACATTTGCGTCTGCTAGAATAGCGAGTACCTCAGTAACAGTTCATGAGACAACCATATGCTCAATTTAACCGCAAATCTGTGATGGGTGCTGATGCCAGGGCACAGTGCGATGTTTCGAGCAGAAACGGCCGATTACACGGCTGCGATCGCCGACGGCCATGGCGCTACAAGGTGAAAAAAATCGAGCGGACGTGGATGTGGCGTTTTTTTTTTGGTTTAAATATAATTGAAGCTCATAAATTTATGATTATTTATTCTTTATTCTTCATATCTTCTTTTTATAGATGGAATCGCGCGAGTTCATTTTCCGTTAAAAGAAAAAAACTAGAACTAGTTTTTGTCGTGGACGGCTACGTTGTAATTGTGGCGGTAACGAGGCCCCCATGGTCTCGACCATAGAGTGTTATCACGTGCCTTGCTCCGGCGCTCTTATTGGGTTGCGGGGCCACAGCCTCCACAGTTTGCCATGTTATGAGACAGAGTACGGAGTGAGCTTAGGGCTTTCAGCCCTCCTGCCGAGCACGTGCACTCGTGTGGTGCGAGCATTGTTCAGGGCAAGGTGCATGTCCTTGTAGCTTTGGCTTCTCTCACTTTTAAGGTGGAACAAGCTATAGGTGACAAGGTGGAGGCACTGAATTGCTGATGCAGCACTTGTGTCCAACCTGTGCCCTGTGCTGTGTTGCTATATCGCTGCCCTTGCGGTTTGGTGTAGTGAATGAAAGCTTCGACTCGTCTTGTGACGAGCAACAATTGGAAGGCTAATTTTTAGTGATTCTGCCGCAGGATTGCATCTGAGCCCCGAGGTACAGAAGCAAGTGAAAGACCTCAAAAATGAGATCAACGAGCTCTCCTTGAAATTCACCAAGGCCATGAACGAGGAGAATACTGTACTGGAGTTCACAGAGGAAGAGCTGAAGGGCCTACCCGAAGAGTTTGTCAAAAACCTAGACACGGTACACTCCTGGTAACGAACGACGGTGCTGGAGCTCGAGGCGATGGCATGAAAAGGAAACAAACACAAAACAAAGTTTCCCTTCTTTTCGTGCCAGAGTCCTGTGCTAGCTGCCGCCAGTTTGCCTGCATTCTAATCTTTTCTTTTTTTTTTAATGATAATACTAACCGTTATTGGGGATGCCAGTTTGTTAAAACAGATAGTAGACCGACGCAAGGGAGTGACATTGTCTGCTAGATTTGGCAGATTTGGTTGACTTAGAACGTCTTAAAATTTGCTGACCATGTCAATACTGTGCCCTCTGCAGAGGGAGTCCCTTACAGGTGGTGGCTCACCCCATTGACTGGCGTAAGTAGTCATGTGACCATAGCAACGACCACCGACATTGTAGTCGGAAGTTGCGTCTCAATTAAGAATCAATCTATTAACGATTCCACCGAGATTTACCTACCCCAAAAAGTATTCGCGTAATGGGGATTTTGTCGGGTACGACCAAGGTGCTGCCGCAGATCTTTAAAACCTTTATTTGTGTTTTCTACTAGTCTCGGGCAGTGCTTGCAAAGACGAGTGTTGCGATCTTGTTTCTGCGGTTTCTCTCTTCGCCCAGGCCGAGTCCGGAAAGCGTCGGGTTACGCTCAAATACCCGCACGTCGTGCCGATCATGAAGATGGCTGTCAATGCCGAAACGCGCAGGAGAGTCAACTTCGCTTTCGAAAACAGGTATGAGGTACGGAACACCTCTCAGGGTGTCGCTTCAACGAAATTTGTTGACTTCGGAATGCATTTTTGACTTTTCCGAGATGCAAATGGGATCTGTCGTGCTTTTGATGATGCTTACACTTGCGTAAGCGTGGTACAGAAGGCTGGTTTACACATTTCTATTTGAATGTAACCGGCACATTGCAGCTGCCAACGATGATCTGTTGGGCAGTCTTGAAACAGTTTTGGTCTGTATATATTTTATGCGTCATTCTTTCGTAACGGGCTTTAACCATTCCTGACAATGTTATCAGTGACCATTTCTCATAGATATAGTGCATAAACTTGACATCCCACAGATCGGAAGGGTTTACCCGATTGAAAGCGCTAGCGTGTTGTCTCGCCGCAAGCGGCCACAACGCGGTCAATCTGACTCAGATGCAGACGTGTGAACCAGCCGCAACTCATATTGTTTCTGACCGAGAACCTCACTTTCAGGTGTGTCGAGGAGAACACCCCTCTCCTAGAAAAGGCCATCTCTCTCAAACACAAGGTACGGCCCTTCGATCCGTCGTCTCCGAAGATGCCCCGGTTAACAACAGCGTTTCGGTGTTGTAACGTTTGTCCTCCAGAAAGCCAAGCTCCTTGACTACGAGACCCATGCGGACTTCATCACCGAGATCCTGATGGCAAGGAACAGCGGCAACGTGCGTTGTTTCCTCACCGAGCTTGCGCAGAAACTGCAGCCCCTGTGGCAGAAGGAGAAGGAGCTGCTGCTGCAGTACAAAAAGGAAGAGGTGTGACAGCATTTCATTGTCTAGAAATGGCTGTAGCCACTGGGCATGTGTAGTCTTTTACAAATGATGCATTATGCTTAGGGATGCCGCAAATTTTTTTCGAATCGAAGTTTCGATCATTGAATCAAGCGGTTCGACAGGTTCGAAAGATGTCAAATTTTTTAACTTTCCATATTGAGAAATTCAACGGAAGTTGGATTTTCGAACCTATTAAACTAAGAAGTTCAACGCTTTTCGAAAGTTCGAACTTATTACGCTAAAAATTCAATGCTTACCGAACTTTCGAACTTGATAGACTAAATAATTCAATGATTTTCGAACTTTCGAACTTCTTGCACTAAAAAGTTCGAAGCTTTTCGAACTTTTGGACTTCCTACGCTAAGAAATTCGATACTTTTTGAACTTATTAATCTAAATAATTAGAAAATCGTCAAACTTTCGATTCCTGGAAAGTCAAAAGTTCAACGAACTTCGAACTTTTAGGGCAAAAGTTCGAATTTCGTCGAACTTCGAAAGACCGGTGGGCGGTTTCATTTGGATTCAAGCAGTGAGGTACATTCGTAATTTTTTTTTTCTCGCAATTTTACATGCGGTGCCGCATTCATTGCAAAAGACAATGCCGTTTATTTCAATCATCTGGCATGCTCTGTTTTAAAGAAATAGATTCCCGAAGGAGCAAGGAAGGACGACGGGTTTTTGACAATTGTCGTTTGTGCCATATTTGAAGCGCGCTATAGCCGAAGCTATTTATGGTAGAGATGTTAAACTTTTTCAAGAATGATCTAAGTATAGCCTAGGTAAGTGTCGTCTTAAGATATGATTATTGTTGTTCAAGACGAGTTTCAAAGAAATAACCAAACATGTGCCTACGGGCGATTATGCCCTAAACTTGGTAATTTTTTTCGCCTACATTGTTTGAGGTATCGCATTTAAATTAACACCACAGACAGTACATATCATTACCATCTGCAGAATACATAATAATGTATTTATTGTTTTTTCACGTTGAGGACTAAATTAACTCATGGGGGAAGATTTCTAAAATTGTTCAAGTACAGCACGTCATAAAAAATTTTTTTTTCTCGTTTTACATTTTTGGGATGTGTTTCTTTTGGCCTGTACACATTTTGGTAGGAGAAACCTGTTTCATAGTTCTGGGCCCCTGAATATGCAAGAATACAACACTTCCGGCGGGTTCTTGATAGCTTTTTTCTCTCCAGCTTTTTATTTTTTGCATTTTTTGTTATGTTCATTTATTGATTATATTTTACCAATGGCACAGTTATTTAGGTCGAAAAGACATTGCTTTGAACTTCCGAGCCACCGAGCATGTGACGGGTAGTGCCTTCTGACAACGAGTTTCCGACAATGACCATCTACGCGATCTTTTATGCAGTGAAGAGCGACAGTAGCTATGCATATGCATAAATAATTTCAGGTTAAAATAAGCTCGACGATGCCCTATTTCCCGGTATTGTTTTCTTTAACAGTCCGAAATATCTGGGGGGGGGGGGTGGACTGGAGCCCCCCCTCCCTTCCCCTTCCCCCTTTTTTTTTTCTTCTGACGCCACTGGTATGGTAGAACGCTCCGCGACCTCAAGTTGCGTCAGCTTCTGTGCTTTTTGCTCGGCGTTTCTTCCGCCCCAGAAAATAAACCTCCGAAGCAATTACAAACAAAAAAATCGTCAAAGTGCAGGCGAGCTGGTGTATGTTGATCTTGATGCAAAATCCCGAGACTGGGAACGAAATTCGCAAAAAATAGTGTAAGAAGAAAGAAAAAAGGGGACAGGACAATGTCTCAAACTCAGCTGAGTTGAGTTAGAGACGTTGTCCTGAGCTCAGTTTTCAGCTGAGTTGAGTTTGAGACGTTTTCCTGAGCCGAGTTTGAGACGTTGTCCTGTCCCCTTTTTTCTGTCTTACACTTTTTCTTTTAAATTTCATTCCCAGAGCTGAGCTTGAGGCGTTGTCTTGTCCCCTTCTTTCTGTCTTACACTTGTTCTTTCAATTTTCATTCCCAGTCTTAGGATTTTGCATCATGCACAAACTTAACTTTACTTTATGCCAGCGTCACTCGGGCGGCGTTTGATCGGATTACTACCAGCGTGCAAGGGGGTAGGAAGGCAGTTTACCAGATCACTTCAAGGTTTTTCTGAGCCTCAACCACCTGCCTGCCCCTGGCCGTTTCGAACTGGAGGAGTATCGTTAAACAGTGCTTTCGTAGGATCACTACTTCGTGATGCACATTAATGACCACCCCGGGCTGGCGGTCACAATTACTGATCTATTGTCACCTGTCACTCTGCACTGGCAAATATTCCAGCACATCCGGGACACTCGTCGTCTCATTCAATTGCCTGACCAACTTCGCGCCGTCTAAATATCACACCCGAACTTTTCTAAACATGATTTCGTGAAAACCAGTGAGGCGTGAAAAGGTTATTTGAAACTGAAACTGTGGCGGAACATGAAAACCGGACTTCGAACTTTGCGCACTTGAACTTCAAAAAAATTAAAAACCTTCAAAGTTTTTTTTTTTTTTTTGTTTAAATTTAGCCCTAAAAGAGAATTGAAACCTTCGAACTTTATATAGAAATAAATTCGAAATCTTCAAATTTATCGAACCTTATGTCTTTATAATTCGAAACGTTCGAAGTTTTTAAATTTTAGATCCAAAGGAATTTGAAACATTCGAATTTCTCGAATTTCCTATTAGGGAAGTTCGAAATCTTCAAATTTATCGAACCTCAAGTAAAAAAATATTCAAAATAATCGAGCCCAAACTTTTAGAAACCATGAAAGCTTCGAACTTTTCGAATTCGAAACCCCACGATTTTGGAAAGTTGTGAATTTTTCGAATTCGAACCTCCGTATGGTCGAAAATATCGCAACCTTTCGAAATCGAACATCAGTTCGGTTCGAAAATATAGAAACCTTTCGAATTCGAACCTAGGGTGGTTCGCGGCATCCCTAATTATGCTTGCGACTCGTTACGCCTATCAATAACGAAACTAACGTTTTTGTGACTTTTTCCGAACTGGAGCGAGTAATATGTTTTGGTCACTTTTGATTGAGTAGTGAGTTAGTTGATTACTTTTTCAAGGGAACTTATGTATGTCTAGTTGTAGCCTTGCTGCATTTCTATTGTGCGCCACATGTTCAGTGCTGTTCATGCCCCTTACCTCTTTTTGTTTTACATGTTCTTTCACGAAACACGGGCCAGAATTTTGTTTTCAGTGTGAGGAACACCCTGTGTATGGATGTTCCATCCCAACATTTATCCGCAAAAGTAGCTCTCGTTCGAGCGCTGAACTCTGCACTCATTTCCCCCATTGTCCAACTACCTACAGTCAAACCCGTTTATAACGAACCTCAGGAAACACTACGATCAGTTCGATATAGCAAGTACGAACTACTTGCTATAGCGAAAAACGTTTACAACCAACTTCCACGATGAGTTCGTTGTAAGGCGAGAACTTGTCTTTCTTCCTCATCTCTTCACTTCCGCCTTGTAACAACGCGCTAAAAAGTTCTTTTTTTTTTTTTGCATGCGTGCGGAGTTATTTTTTTAGCTTATCTACCCTTCTGAATTTCTTTTCTTCGGGGGCAAACGCTTTGGGATGAAAAGTTTTTTTTTTTTCTGTGCGTGCGTGTTGAGTGTATTTTTTAGCTTTCTCCCCCTTCTAAATCGCTTCTCTTAGCTCAATTTTATTCACAACTTCAGCTTTCTGAAATCTTTTTCTTTCCTACTTCCTTTTTGGGAAAGGGACAGGCTATAAGACAATTGTTTGTGCGTTTTAGGAAGCCTTCTCAGAGTGAAAAAGTTCGATATAGCCAATATGTTGTTCGTTATAAAAGATACTTTTTCCATGCATTTTTATTTAAACTTTCCGTGAGTTCGATATTGAATATAATTCGCTGTACGTGGGTTCGTTCTAAACAGGTTTTACTGTAGTATGTCAGATGAAGTCCGTCTGCGCCCCGGTTTCTGGTGGTGCCGTCTAGTTGCATAAACGTGGTTCTGAAATGTGGACTCGTGTTTTAGACGCAATGCAGGAGGCTCTTGCAATACTTTGTTGCCAGTGGTGAACTCCGTCAGATGACATTTGTCATCTGGGAACACAAGCAGACGACAAATGTCGCCTTTTAACAAGCGGGTGACAAATGTCTGTCTACACAAGTAGAGGGTAAAGGTTATGTAACAATACAAGCAGACGACAAATATCGTCTGTCAACACACATCAGTAACAAATGGCATCTGTTAACTCGAGCTGATAACAACAGCAGATAACGAATGGCATTTGCTTCTTTTAACAAGCTGCGAAGGCGGAAAGTGCTACTACTTGCGTTCAAACAAGAAAGCATGCCTTTACATTGGTGTAGTCTTGATGTTTCTCATGCACATTTCTGCAGTGCGAGAGCCAGGGAATTCCATTTGATGGCAAGCTCAACGCTTGGGACGTGTCATACTACAAGAACCTGGTGGAAGAGCGCGTGTACAAGGTGGACCAGGAGAAGCTTCGGGCCTTCTTTCCTCTCGATGTGGTCACCAAGGGGCTCTTAGGAATATATGAGGTATGCACCGAGCGTCTGCGGCGCAAAGGAACTCCTTGACCCCTCCTTTCCAACATCTTGATGCATAACCGTTCAGCTGGCAATGAGTTAGCGCATCTGGCATTGACTTGTTGCCATTTCTGAGAATTCAACGCAAATATGGCGGAGCAATTGGCCTGCGTCCTTGCTAGGATCTAAGATGAGGCCGATGAAGGTGGATCACCGAATATAGAAATTGCGACACGTTTGCCGCCGAAAAGGGATTATGTTTTGAGTCACGGCAACACAAACAAATAGTCTTTACTTCTACGGTATGTCGGCGGTCCATTGTAATTAAAAATGCATGCGTCCACATGTTTTAAGGAAGAGTTGCTTGAAAAAATGAAGTTAACTAGGGAGCCTTGGTTTTACTTCGAAATATGGTGCAATGTTGATTGCTCTTCGGAAGCACATCAGCACTTTTCTTCTTAGAGTTTTTTTTTTGTTTAGCTCGTGCCCCCTTTGGAGTTTGTCGGGCCTTAGTTTCCACTGCAAGGATTGTCGTTGGAGGTTCAGATTACCGACAGTGTTTCTGCTATAGTGGGAGCACTTGCAGATATACTGCTTGGACCCTTTTGTGTTGCACAGACATCTGCGTTACGTTTTCGTGATTGTCGTCGTGCCGTGGCGATTGTTGTTTCTGAGTTTTTACGTTTGACATGTGCCTCTTTGGGCAGATGCTGCTGGGCCTCAAGTTCGACAAGGTGGAGGACGTGAAGTTGTGGCACCCCGAGGCCGAGCTGGTGAGTCGACCGGTCAATTGGGTCGTTCGTTGCTGTCCCGAGACGGGACTGCCTCAGACTATAGTTTGTTTCACTTTATGCGCGAGCAAAACATTTGAAAATTCACTTAAAAGGTTTTATATGGAAACAATGTTGGAGTAAGAAATACAGTGGACTCGCGACTTGGATATTTCATACTCCTGGTTAATTCAAACAAATAAAAAAAAATTGGTTGTCCCGCTATAATTTTAATGCATTTAGAAGCTGCTTAATTCGAAGAGCGTTTCTGCTTAATTCATATTATTTGTTCATTGCGGTGTTTGCCCCATTGAGTAGGCTTTTCACCGAGCACCTGTGTACTGCGGGAAAGCAATACCCACAATGGTCACGGTCAGTGCTTTTCCACAGTATGCCGGTGCTCGGTAACTGGGTGCTCGGTGAGAAGCAGTCAGTGGGACTAACCCTACGCGATTATGCAAGCAGAACTGTCCTGACAATATGCTTTCATTATTTGTGCTTGTTTTTCATTTTTCTGATGGGGTTAAGTTTGAGATGAAAGAATATTTGCATATAGCAAGCAGATTTTTAAATTCCCTCTATTAGGATAGCTCGGCGTCTCTTTAGGTTTAACTTTATGTGAAATCTGTTATGTACATGCCACTCCAATGCAGGCATTGGACTTTCTGAGGCAACGGTTCATAGATATACCACTAGTTATAATAAAACTAACTGAGCTTAGAAGTGGACAAGTGGAATGTCGAAAACAACCTTCACGGGTTCAGCTGAATTTTCATTTAAGCATGGCACAGTGGTAGTAAAAGGATTGGAGAAACTATTCAGTATACGATTAGAAAAGATTCGGCCGAAACCACTATTCGCTTCGAACTTCAGCAATATTTTATATCTGCCTACTTATAAATATGCCTGTGTAGAGGAAAGCGTAAAAAAAAATCTGATTGGGATGGTGTAGCTATTCCTATAGCAAATCGCTACTTTGCCTCGCATCATATTTAGATGAATTTCTGATAATTCAAACTTCTGATATTTCAAACTAAAGTCTGTGGCCTCCTGGAGTTTGAGCTAATGAGAGTAGACTGGTTTTTTTTTTCGCATGGCACATGCATGGGTGCAAGGAAACCGCAGCATTATTTATTTTTGCGCATTCGGAATGCATGCAAGACTAGCCAAGAGAGCTATGGATCCAGATACGTTTGTGCAGTGCGTTCTGTGTTTATTTTTTTTAATAAAATTGATTGCTACAGACACATTCTTGTTGCCCCGATTGTGGTTGTGGGGCATTGCGTCCTTACCGTCTCCTCTCCGCAGTTCAAGGTGACGGACGTTGCCAGCCAGGAACTTTTAGGCTACTTCCTCATGGACCTGTTCCCAAGGGAAGGGAAGTACAGCCACTTCTGCAACATCCCCATGCAGGTGGGTGCGTCTTCAAACTGCCGCTGTCCCCAGAGCTTTGGCTAGCTGTGGGGAAGATCACTCTGCCTTTAAGGTCGACAAGCAGCCAGAAAGCAGGAACCTTTCCCTCAGTTCCTCCTTTCTGCGGGGAGTAGCTCAGAGACCTGCTCTTGCGGGGAGAGGTGTAGAGAAGAGGGGGAATGGAGAGAAGGAAACCGGGAGCCGATTTTCTGCCCGGCAGAAGATTCTGTCGGTCTGCCTTTGAGCTTTGCCAGTCCATTTTAAAATTGACGAGCTTTGTACCATTGACTTCTGTACCCTGCTGCTTTTTTACAGCAGAGCTGTTAAAGGGCAACTCCGCTCAATTCCGAAAAATTTAGGCTTACATGTGATTCAAATTCACAAAGCGCTACTAAACAACTCCACGTCTTCGGATTCGCGAAATGTGGAACATTATTTGTGTAATCCTAATTTAAACATCAGCTGACACCGAAACCGAAACTTCGGTTGCGTCAGGCAACATTGGTCTCGGGTCGTCAGAGTCATGGCCACGTCACATCGAGCCACGTGGTTTTGTGACGTTCGGGAGGGAGCGAGAAACAGGACACGCGACGCTGGCAGGTCGCTTCGCATGGCGTGGACGGTGATGGCCCGGGGGAGAGGGGGAAAGGGAGAAGACAAGAGAGAAGGGGAGTGGAGAAATCATAGGGAGAAACAGATCGGTAAGCGCAGGGCAGTACAAACTAGCACATCCACGTTACAGAGATCACGTGGACGCCGTTCAGCCAACACCGGGAGGAGAAATTCATGACATCATTGTTCAATTTCGCTCTGAGAAGTAAAAACAAACAAAATGTGAGAATGACGTAGTCATATGCCTCTGACGTAGTGGCTCAATGTTGGCTGCTCCAACTCCGTGGCATTGACTGCGCTGATGATTGCGCCTCGCGCCGCACGCTAGAGTTGGCAGATTTCGGCAACTTGGCTCGCTTGAAGGTATGCTGGCCAGTTTATTAAATATATAAACGGAATTAGATTGTAATATTTGACATGGGGTCTTCCTATATGATACTGAAGAGGGCTACCTAGTTTTCTAATTATCAAAAATGAAACGGAGTTGCCCTTTAAGGGATAGTTTCCCCAGTTTCGTGTCCATGGACAAATAAATGTCGACACAAAACTCTGGACAGCTATTGCCATCTATGAGCGATGGCAGCAATCTGACAACCAGCTTGCCGGTGGTTTGGTTGCCGTTGTTGCTCATAGATGGCGGCAACCTTTTCAGCCTTTCTCAGGCGTCGTCCTCGGGGTCGTCTTAGATGTTGTCCTAGACACTGTCCTTGAGGTCGTCCTTGAGGTCATCCTAGACGTCGTCTTTGAGGTCGTCCTAGACGTCGTCCTTGGAGTCGTCTTAGACGTCGTCCTAGGCGTCGTCCTGTTTGTGGTCCCTGAGGTTGGCCTAGGCGTCGTCCTCGAGGTCCTCCTAGAGGTTGTCCTTGAGGTCATCCCACATAGTATAGCTTTGCTGGTCTTCCTTCTTCACCAGAGTGGAAAGGCTGAAAGACTCTTTGCTTTCGGGTCATAGCCGGAACAAAACAGGGTTCGGTGGCCGAGTCTGTTAACACCTCGTAGCCCGGAGCAGGTGGAGCGAAAGTTTGCGCTACGGAAGCCGGGGATTCAGGTTTGAATGATCCGCCCCGCCCCAGTTCGATCTGGACGGGCATCATATATCATTACTGCATGATACACATTAAAGACTCCAGGCCAGCAGTGGTACTGCACTGGCCAAATTTTTTATCTACATCAGAAATGCCAGGTGCCCACGGGGCCGACTAACTTTCTGCCATCGAAACAAACTGACAAAACAAAGCGGGGTTAGATTTTTTCGTCGACTGAAGACGAAACTGTGCCCTTTTTCTTTCGTAAACAAAATCTGTCGATGTTTTAAACCTCATCCAGTGCCTAAGAGACCAAAAACTGCGACCGTTTTCTGCGCAGCCTGGCTGTCGGACTGCCGACGGATCGAGGCAGCTGGCAATGGTGGGCGTCCTGTGCAACTTTCCGAAACCTACCGCCGACAAGCCTGCTCTCCTGACCCACAACGAAGTAAGCCTACCTCGAAATCTTCCTTGAACCTGTCTGAGAGGGGTCGAGCTCCACTGGGGTACCTCGGAGCGCTCCCGAAGTGCCCGAGTTCATACTTTGACCATGTTTTGCAGGAACACCCACGCAGAATGTAAAGGCGACTGCACTAATTCTGCGGTCGTAATTATCTCGCAGTGCATATTTGATAAAAATAATTGTTCGAGGTGCCACTCCGATTGTCAGACTATGCCGTAGCCGCAGTTAACGGCAACAATAAATTGTCATTCGTTTGGCCAGGCTTGTTGATAAGCTAGTTGTCAAAACAAATAGGTTCTTGTACTTTGAACGTTACGTTTACCGAAGCATACTAAATGCTTTCTGTACAGTTGCAAGTCTCACTTGGGGTAGAGTATGTACATAGTATGGATCCATAAAGTGACAGTAGAGACATTACAAGAATGGACACAGTTTCAAATTTGACTGACCGAACGTGTCCTACTGTGTCTCTTTATGCGAGTCACTGTCGTTTGTACTGCTGATTGTTATTGCGAGTTTCAGGGGTCTTGTGTTTGCTGTGTGCACAATGTTTTTTTTTTCTTTTTAGGTGACGACCTTCTTCCATGAATTCGGCCACACGATGCACCACATCTGTTCCAGGGCGAACTTGGTCGAGTTTGGGTGCGTTTTGTTTTCTTGAAGTTTCCATAAACAAGCTCTTTTTCAACTAGGAAGGGGGACAAGTGGCCGAGTGGGTTGTCGCACCGCACCTCGGTGCACGGGGAATGATAGCTCGCGCTGCAAAACCCTTTTCGATCCCCACCACTTCCCGTTTTTATATGGACTAGCATCGTACCGGGATGCTGTGGTGTAAACGCTACCACTTGGTGCATAGTCCCAGATTTTCTTTGTGCTCCCCGATTTGCCTCAAAATAAAACAAACACAGCAACCACCGTTGCTGAAATTGTAACCTAAATATTAGGCCAACATGATGTTTTCTTTTGCAAAGTTATTAAATTTACAGTTTCGCTCCTAACCGCCTTTTTCATATAAAAGTTTCCACTGGCAACGACAGAAAAGTGACACCATCGACGGGCAGAGGTTCACCCCTTGAATGGTAGAATTTGTTCTTAACTAGTTACGAGAAGTTTGATGGCACGAAATGAATGCTTGGCAAGCTCGCCGCAGCATCCATGCAGCAGTCCAAAATAAAGTTGCGCCATGTTGTGTTTTCTAAAGTGCCTGGTCCGCGGGGCAAGCTTCCCTGCCAGTGACGTCGCGGCACTGAAAATGCGGGTATATTTTAACGTTTGTTTCGGCATCACCTTCATTTGACGATTTCGCAATGACTTGCGAATTTCGTGATACTACCATGTTTTCCAACTATGGTTTACATACTAACTACAGGTGCATACTATTAGAGGATTTGTGTTTTTCTAGATTGTTCACTGTGCCAGGACGAATAGGATTTTATAAATCAGAAAATATATTAACGTTGATTTATGTAAGATACAACCTTCTTTGTGAGCTAATACAGCAGGCATTTGTCAAAGTGTGCTGTGTATGACAATTTTTACGTTTGGACTAGGCACTAAGTGCGGATTATCTAAGTAACAATTTTTATTTTTGACCCCAACTTTTCCTTTGTGGACTATGGACCGGGTACGGACTGTTGTGGTAGGTAGCGTGCCGAAAGGGGTAAAGGCCGGGGGTTCATAATATATAGTTAGAGTAATTACTAAAGAAATTGCCGGATTACCCATTTCAAAACCTCGGGCTAGCAGTAGGAATGCACTGGCTAAATTTCTCGCCTACAACCGAGATACCAGACACCCATCAGGGCCGACCTACTTCCCGCTGTCCAAACAAATGCGCGGCACAATTACAATTTTACGTCGGAAGCCGTCGGTAACGTTTTTTTGCCAGACTTGCGGGATTCAAATAGACTTCCTGGCATTAACGGTGCCTTTTCCGACGGCTTCGGGTGGCTTGCAGGGGCACGAGGGTCGAGCGGGACTTCTTGGAGTGCCCGTCCCAGATGCTGGAGAACTGGTGCTGGGACCTGCAGGCCCTGCGGCTTATGTCCAGCCACTACTCGACCGGGGAGCCGATACCGGAGGACCTGGCCGAGAAGCTGATGGCCTCTCGCCTCGCCAACGTGGCCCAGCTTAATTTGAGGCAGGTCAGCCTCGCGCTCTTCGACCTCGAGCTGCACTCGCGACCCGAGGTGAGCTTGACTTGCACCCCACTTTGATCCTTTCGATTTTTTACCCAACGTTTCAAAATGCCCTTGGTCAAACTGCGCACCAGGTGGCAAACGAGCGTGACCGCCCTGTATCACGTTTTCCAGTCTATCAGCCGCACCATTGTATAACTTGCAAAAAGGTCAATACGTGGTTGCTTATATTCGAGGATCTGTGCTTTTCTAGATTGTTCACTGTGACAGGATGTGAAAGGGTTCCTCTCTCGGATTACCAAAAAGGGAGGTCGTTGACAGTTGCTTTGCCGATCTTTCTTTGTCGTAAATGTTTTTGCAGCCTATGTTCCGCACAGACGAAGTTAAAAAAAATATATGCTTGTAAGACTTGCCGACGAAGATCTGGGAACAAAATCGCGACTTTTACACGGGAAAAGATGGTAATGCCAAGTTATGAAGCTTAGACGCGTTCACGGGAGGCGGTCGTTTTTGGTGCGAGCATAGCACGTTCGCCGTAACTTGGACACTTTTGTCGAAACGAGGTTGATGCTGCTGTTTTTCTTTTGTTCGTTTTGTGGAAGAGCAAACCTCCGACGTCGCACCAATGATACCACCGTTTTTGGTGCGGCGTCGGAAGCCAGGTGTGCTGTAACTGCCTGTGCGAAGGTGGATCTGGCGAAATATGATCGAATTCATTGTTTGCAGAGCATTTGCTCTTGTACTTTTGTACGGCTCGGACCGGCGCAAACCTGGAAACGTTGCTGCGGTTTTTCAGGCGGATACGAGGAAGGTGTTCCGAGAGATCCAGGAGTCGCTCTTGGGATACCCTCCCCAGGAGGGGACCAACTTTGCGGCCAGCTTCGGCCACTTGATGGGAGGCTACGACGCCCGGTACTACGGATACATGGTGGGTGTGCGTAGCCAGCAGAGGTGGTTACCTTACCTTAGTGTTAGTTGGTGGCAGAAAACCAGTTTACATGATTATAGTATTTCTGGTTTGGATGGTGTTAACTAACCAGGTCTTCAATGAGGCACGTAAAGATGAGGAAAATGGCGGCCGATGAAGCCCACAAATGCGTGGGGATGAATGGCGTCGGGTGTCAAGCCTTATTTTTCCGTTGAATGCTTCAGGGAATCGCATGTAACTTTTGAATAAAGGCCCGTTCACACTCTTGGGACCGAGTACGACTGAGAGAGACGAGATTTCTTAAAACCTCTTAAATGTTTTTGGAATGAGGGAACACACTGGCATTGTGGCGCCATCTATGCGGTGACCCTGAAACTGCATTTCACAAGAAGGAAGGTTTTGCGGGATTTCCGAGGTCAAATGTGCGTAATACCCATAGAAAGGCTCGTTTATAACATTGACAAAAGTTTTTCGAGCCAAGAAAGAGAAATAAAAAAAAATATGCTGGACCGCCAAGTTTACACTGCTTCCCAATAGACGGCGCCAGTGTGTTCTCTGGTTTAAGAAGTTTTAAGGAACCCAGGTTTAAGAGGTCGCAAGAGTGTGAACGGGCCTTAAGATAACGGTTAACGCTGAAACTTTGGCATCTGGCCCGAATCGCTAGTGCCACATTTGGATGGAGACCGAGTGTTCAGAGGTGCATGGTTTATTTTTGTAACAAAATAAGGGGCACACTGTAGATTAGTGCTCTGCAGCTTGAGAAGCCTGTTCTAATTGGGCTGCAACTTCCCTCCGATGACACCAAAATCTAATCTAGACCAATCGAGTCGCACGGAAAAAGCCCCTCTGTCGTGCAAGCGCAGTGCTAAGCAGTGGCTCGCATTTCGTTTTGCGAGATTGGTTTTTTTGCGCTCAACCTTTTTACGGCAAAGGGATTTGTACAACAGAACTATTTGTCAGTCCCACGAAATTTGTCATAAAGGTGTTTGGTTGTATTTTCCTTGCAGTGGAGCGAAGTGTACAGTATGGACATGTTTGATGCAAGGTTCAAGAAGGAGGGTATACTTAACCCAAAGACTGGCATGGACTACCGCGAGAAAATCCTGTGCCCAGGAGGCACTCTGGTACGTTTCTGTGGTCGCCATGGGTTTGCTCTCCGTGGCCGGTGCATTGGCTTTATGAATACCAATCATTTAACCAACTGCTTGTCTTCCTGGTTTGACATATACTAGTCTACTACTACATCAGTATTGTCGGCACTGTGTATAAATGCTGTGCAGCCAAGGGCATGATAGAATGAGCCACCCTGTACTTGCCACCTAGCTAGCGCAGCAGGAGGCGAAAGCTTTCATCCTATTGGAAGGATAAAGGTCCGTCCAGTTGAGTGAAGTCTTGCATTCTTTTTTCTCGTCTCAAGGATGGCGAAGTGATGCTGAGGAACTTCCTGGGCAGGGAGCCGAGCACAGAGGCATTCCTCATCAGCAAGGGACTGTCCACTGCTATTCCAGCATCGTAATTTTTCTTAACAAAGAAAACCGGAGCAACGCTTATTTTGAATAAATGCCGTTTACAATCTCGTAGCACACCTTTCCATTTGAGAATTTATTCGTTCCGACGAACAGTTGAGTGTGCTAAATAAACTGTGCAAATTGGGTAGGTATACAGTGTCCGATCGAGAAAAGTAAACCCTACTTTTCGGCCCGCGTAAAAAAACTATGCATCGCAGAACGCTCAAACTCCGCCAGAATGTAACCCTAGCGGTCCAAGCAAGATGCCAAAGTTTCAGAACATGAGTTTACCTGGATCAAAAGATAAAAGAAAAAAACGAGAAATCTCTACGGGGAGGCTCCGACCATGGAGAGACGCAGACGGAGGCCGTCTGCTTTGCGTTGCATCGCATAGGTGGCGCCACTACCTATGCGGGTTGGCGGGTTATCACGGGCATCTTCCGGGCTTGGCGGCAAATTCAAAATTGTTCTCTATCATTTCTGAAGTTTCACTTACGGTGAAAAGACGGTGAGAGTGCAGGCGAGCTGGTGGTAGCTAATCATGTCGTATTACACCTGAGACTGCGGTGGAAGAAATCGGAAGAACCTTCAGTAGAAGGAACAGACACAGAGAACGTCTCAAAAACACAGAGAACGTCTCAAAGACGCAGAGAACGTCTCAAGTTGAGACGTTCTCTGTGTCTGTTCCTTCTACTGAAAGTTCTTCCGTTTTCTTCCACCGCAGTCTCAGGTGTAATACGACATGATTTTCACTTACGCACTGCTTTTCACTGCAACGGAAATAAAGATTACACGCTTTAATTTGTGAAACTTCGGTGCATTTGCTCCGAAAGTACAAACGGCGCAAACACACGGAATCCTCCTCTCCCTCAGGTGTCAACAAACCCCGACCGTTTGAGGGACGGTCTTCTTCGAACAGATATTTCGCTATGGAATAAACCTCTTAAGTTTTCCCGATCTGTTTACGCGACTGACTGGCTCGGACGTTGTTCGTAAGAAAGGTTGGACGCCAGCGAGATGGCCATGCTACCTGAGAGAACCTGCTGGGCGTCGACACCTCAGCGGTCGAAGGAGGATTGATAGTGCATTTCACAAGCTGCGTGCAGCAGGGCCGAAGCTACGTGGTGTGCCGAGGCGCTTCCACCCGCACAGCGAGGGGACGGAAATGTCCCTCCGAGGCCCCAAACGCCACTTGTCGCTTTTCCTCAGCCGGCCTCGTAGAACGTCACGGTGAGTTAAGGGCTGTTTATACTCCGACGTCGACGAACGTGACGTGCGCCGGCGTTCGTCGTCAACAACGACACGACGCGCTGCGCTGAAAAGGTTGCGGTCAACGGCATTTATACTCCATCGCGGTCCAGCGCGCTCCGACGCGCACTCCGCGTTGCGCCTGCGCGTCGCCATGACAACCGCGACTTAAGCTGATGGTTTATTTCCGTTTCCGTTTGCATTCTGCCCTGACTTGTTCAGACAGGAGGAACCATGGAGAGCCGATTCGCGATGTATTTAGATCAGCAAAAAAAGAAAAAAATTGCAGCGGTGCTTTTATGGCGCCGAATACGGCGCCAGAGAACACGCACGATGTACGTACGAGACATATTTGATAAGCGCACAGTGTTTGGAGAATTTTACCATCTAGTACAGGAGCTGCGCGAGTCCGACCCAGAATACCACTTCCAATATTTCAGGTAAGGCGACGGTCGATAATCATGTCGCTTATCATAGTGAATCAATTCTGTCGTTTCCTTTTCTGCAGGATGACGAAGGCTTCATTCGACGAGCTGCTCGGACTCGTCCACGACCGTCTTGTACACTCGCCGACACATCGCTCTCCCATCTCGCCCGCTGAGCGGCTGGCCATCACACTGAGGTATGTACTACTAGGGTGCCTTCATGTGCACTTTGCTTGGGGTGATGACATTTAACCATTTTGTTTCGAACGCTTATTTTTTTATTTTTTGTTCTGAAAGCGTGAAAAAGCGTGTCCCTGCACGCGCTTCTGGCGTGACTATGCTAAGGCAACATTTTGTTTCTTGCGATTCCTTTGTATTTTCCCTGTGAGCGCGTGCTGTCGGCATCGGGCACTACAAACGGTGGCGTCCCCCAAAACAGAAGGACATTGAGGCACTCTATGTACTACATATTTGATATACACTTCATTTTCGCGGATGCTTGACTGATTAAGTTATGCTTCTAGACGGTGTACTACCGCCGTACACATGCCCAACTCGTATTAAAATACCTCAAACCGAGAACTAATGCGCTCTCATCTACTCCGATATTTTAATTGAGAGGCCCAATCTCGACAGTGCGTTTCAAAATAAAGTTTGGGCTCTTAAATCGCCAGCAAAAATCAGGGACGCGACGTTTCAAGCAGAAACTTACCTCAAATGCTTCCTTTACTGGTTGGATGTACCGCACGCATTCAAATTTTAAGTCTGAACTCCTAGAACGAAAAAAAAAGCCTAGAATGGGAAAGTTTTCTTTTTAATTTTTTTGTACTTTCAATAGAGACTTGAATTTGTAATATGTAAAGGGGACTAGTAAGGTATGTATTCGAGGTAAGTTTCAACTTGATGGGTTCAGTTGCTGATGTTTGACGGGCCATTAGTACTACCTTGTAACTATTTTGAGACACTCATAAATAAGCGGATCAACGTATCAATGTAACACTTACTACATCAAACACATATTTTACTAAATAGAAAGGCTGACCTATTTGACAACATCGTCATTCTTTTTTTTTTTTGCACTTTAAATTGAGACTGAAATTTTTAATGAGTAAATCAGCACAGTAAAACTCATATTCGAGATCAATTTCCACTTCATGCGCCAATTCCTTGATTTTTGCGGGCGGTTTTAGAGTAGAAACTATTTCAAAACACCGTAGAGCGTCAGTCAAACACATTTAGTACATATTTACATATTGCGTGTATAGCAATATAAGTCTGACGGAGCACTCTCGCAGGTCGTTCTTAGTCACAAACAGTGGAAATGACTGACTAAACAGTTGCTCTGAGTTAGGTACTAAGTCTCACAATTTTGTTTTTCACATTTCTAGGTTCCTTGCATCACCAGGATCTCTGGGCCATGTGGCCATAAGTTACCGGATGCATAAAGCAACATTATCGGGGACCCTTCAGGAAACGCTGCCAGCCATCTGGGACTGCCTCTCCCCGTTAGTGCTGCAGCCACCCACATCACAACAGTGGGAAGAGATCCGGAGGGAGTTCTGCGTCAAGTGGAACTTTCCTAACGCCATTGGATCAATAGATGGCAAGCACTTTGCGATCAGGTGCCCATCAAACTCTGGCTCAATATTTCAACACTACAAGCAATTCTACTCGATGGTGCTGCTGGCTGTTGTTGACGCCCACTACAGGTTTCGACTGGTGGACATTGGGGCTGCCGGGCACCAGTCCGATGGCGGTGTGTTGAGAGAGTCTAACCTTGGAAAGGCGTTAGCTGCCAACACCCTCCAGATCCCTGTAATCGCACAGCCTGCACCACCTCTGTGCCTCCTAAGGGATGAAGCCTTCCCGTTGAAAACGTACCTCATGCGCCCTTTCCCCGGAAGAGGCTTGGACTACCGAAAAAAGGTCTTCAACTACAGGCTCTCCCGGGGCGGGCGGACAGTAGAAAACGCCTTCGGAATACTTGTGTCTCGCTGGCGGGCGTTTCTGGCTCCCATGCATGGCACTGTTGAGCACTGTGAAAACATGATAAAAGCGGGAGTCTGCCTCCACAACTTCCTGACACGGGATGAAGCCTACTGCCCTCCTGGATATGCTGACAGTGAAAGGAGGGGTGCCCGTGTGGATGGTCAGTGGCCAGCTGATATTTTGAATGTTGGTGTCAACAGGATCCTAGGTGGCAACAGCAGCCCAGCAGCAATCAGCATCAGGGACCAGCTGGCAGACCACTTCATCTCCCCTAGGGAGCCATCCCGTGGCAACACGACATAGTGACGAGGGAGTAGACGACGACACAAGGTTGTTATCAGTGCTGTTCTATTTTTTTCTTTCTTTGCAAATAAATTGTATATATTTTCTCTGCTCTGCTTGCTTAACAGGGTTGACCGGCGAAATATATTTCGCAATCCCTCGTTTTTTTCACCTTCAAAGAGCTTACCTGCCTACCTTGGTGAATTTTGTTGTACAGGGGAGAGCGAGGTAATTGCACAAGCGAGGAATATTGGCCATCCATGTTTTTCGCTTGCCACTGAGATACAGGCACGCATACAAAATGATTGGCTTCTTATTAAGTGAACCCGCAGGAATGTAGTAGTGGCTCACTTGGAAAATAGGACAGCTTGCGTATTAATAACAAAAGTTGGGTTTAATCTTTTCATTTACACCACAAAGGAGGAAAATGACATTCTAGATGTACTTTCGATAAGCCTGCTTTTCTACTTGCATTTCTCTCGGAAATATAAACAGGTTTCGAGCAATTCGTGCCACCCACGAAGCGAATGTAATGGGTAGAAAGCATGTTTGATTAACGGTATTAGCGCAGGCTGTGTGTCTGAGTAGCAGATGATGCTATTATGTGCACTAGACATTTTGCTAATTTACACAAGCACCAAAGATCATGCCGGGTTTGCAGGTACACTCGCTGCGCAAGCTATCGTCCACATTTGTGTGTACCTACATTCCAAGCCGCTTCCTTGACGCTTGGGGTAAATTTGAAAAATGCCTGTAGGTGTTCTTTTAAGCTATTTTATGTGATAGGCATCCCTGCCCTCCAAGAACTAATTCTGAAGTATTGCACTACAGAGTTAATAATATTCAGATTAACATAGACTACTTCACAGATTGTTTTTTTTTTCTAACGATGTAGTAGAATTCCATAAGCAGAGATTGCTCTTCGAAAATGTAGTTCATATTAACAGAATGTGTATATTATCAAAACATGAGTGGACACGTGTGCCTTCAGATGCACAAAGGTCGGGGGCGTTTTATTTCTCCTGAAATTTACATTCATACTCATACACAATCTGCATTACACAAGCCCTGAATTGGGCACTGGTGACCTCGTCCCAACGATCTAGAGATTGTGCTACAGAGTAGGCA